TGGTTCGGTTTACTTGTATTCGCTGTCCCATCATTGCTGATTATCAGGGGAAATCAGAATATTTTCCCTTTCTAATTAGCAGCTTGGTGGCTTTGTTTTTTAAAAGAAAGTGGTTTTCAGCACTGTTTGATTTTTCAGAACTGTAGTTTTGTGCTGTTAAGGTGGGTTTGGGTTTATCCTGGCTGCCTGCAGTGCTGTGGGTAAAATCTCCTTGGGGATCTTCATCACTGGCTTTAGGGAGAAGCCTGAGCTCCTGGCCAGGATCTCCTCCATCCTCTGGATCCCTGTGCTGGCTCAGGCAGCTGAGCAGCCCTGGGTGGGAGTCTGAGTCTCTGTTCCAGGTTAACAAATTAATCCTGGCTCTTGCATTTTTAAAAGAGTCGCTTCAGCACTTTTGCTCCTTTCTTCTGGTTTTAATGAGACACACTTTCCAAGAGATGTAATAATCATTGCCAAAAAATGTCAAGGCGTTGTTAGCTCCCTTAAGCTGCTGGAAAAACAACAACAACAACAAAGCCCAGGAACAGAAAGAGAGAGGTGTTGATGCGGAAGAGCTTCGGCTTCATCTCCGAGTGCCAGGGGAGGGCTGGGGGAGATGTGTCCTGCCTCAGCTCTGCTTTCTGGCAGGCTGCCCCAAAAGATAATGCAGGGAAAGCTGGGATTTTTATTTTTGTATTGCTATTTTTACTTAGTATTTGGGATTTTTTTTTTAAATTTCTTTATTTGAGAAGGAATATCTCGGCTCACTGTTGACAGCAAAGCTCAGAGCTCTGCTCTCAGAGCATCCTGCAGTGGCTCAAAACCAGCTGGGAATGGGATGGTGGCAGTGACAGGAGGGGAGATCTCAGGGAAAGTCAGGGGCCAGGCTGGTGGTGGGTGCAGAGTGGAGTTGTGGCTCTCTGGGATCCACAGGGAAGTGGATTTGTGCCCTGGTGGGAATATCCTCATCCCTCAGTAGTGATTTGGGAGCAGAGCTGTCTTGTCAGCTGTGCTTCTGTGATGAACCTTTGGAGCATCATCCTTGCCTGGACTGCCAGGAATTCTCCATCCCCACTGCCTTCCCAGGCACAGCCTCTGTGTGTTCCCAGCAAACTGTCACAACCTGACCCCCCAAACAGGCTGGGATCCAAATCCCCAGGCCAGGATTGGCTCCATGGCAATCTGGGGGTGGTGGTTTCAGCCTCTCTGGCCAGCTGTAGTGTTCACAGCTGGTGGTGTTCACAGGGGTCCCAGGATGAGGGAAGAGACGAGGATCTGACTCCATGTTTCAGAAGGCTGAGTTATTATTTTATGATATATATTATATTAAAATGATACTAAAAGAATAGAAGAAAGGATTTCATCAGAAGGCTAGCAAGGAAAGGAAAGAAAATGGAATGATAATAAAATCTTGTGACTGACCAGACAGTACAAGACAGCTGGACTGTGATTGGCCATTAATTAGAAACAACCACATGAGATCAATCAAAGATGCACCTGTTGCATTCCACAGCAGCAGATAATAATTGTTTTTATTTTCCTCTGAGGCCTCTCAGCTTCTCAGGAGAAAAATCCTAAGAAAAGGATTTTTCAGAAAATATGGCTACACTGTAGGGTTTGGGTGAGGTCTTTATCCTGACCTCCAGCCTCACCCACTGCAGCACAAGGGATCAGTAATCACTGCCTCATGCAAAAACTGAGTGTAAGGTCTAAGCTCTGACCTGCTGGCCATGCTGGGATGTCAGAGCAGGAACAAATTCTGAGTAGAAATGCCCATTTTGGGGGATGGTCAGTCCTGGGGTGGACAGAGGGTGCTGGGGCTGCAACCCATGAACACAGCCCAGCTGTGGGAGGGATGTCACTGGAATGGGCTCAGTCTATGGACAAATAACTAAAGTGGATTTTCAGATTTAAGCCCATGTCAGAGCTGTTCTATTTCCCTTAGCTGTGCCTTTTCCTGATTTTCTCAGCTGTGTTTGAGGCAGCCCTTGTCAAAACGGAGCCCCAGGTTCCAAAATTCCACTTTTTTACCTCCCCATAGCATCTTTTAATTGCAGGCTCATTAGTGCTGCTGCTCTTCAGTGGGACAGGCTGTGACTTTGATATCGTGCAGGGGACAGGGTGACCTTCCTGGTGGGTGTGCAAGGTGGCTCCTGCACTCCCAAACCCACCCAGGAAAGTCTGGGGCTGCACAGGACCTTGGGCACCCACTGATTGAAGCAGAAGTCACTGATTCTTGCCATGGAGCTGAGGGAATGTCTGGGGAAGAGCCCAGTTTCACTCTCCATGAATGGTGGTTTGTCCTCTTTTTTTTTTCAGGAATTGCTTTTGCTCTCAATGTTTCTTCTGTTTTGTTAGATAGAGTCAGGAAAAATAATGTGCTGCTGATAATCCCAGCCAAGCGTGGAAGGCAGCCTTTGGCAAGGTCTGGCTGGCCCAGTGTCATCTTCTTGGAGGGGTTAAGGGTTGGCTCACAACGCCGTGTTCGTGAGTGATCCGATGTTATCCAGAGCCTGGCAGGGCAGTGTGGGGGCTGGAGCTGCAGTGCCAGTGCTGCCTGCCCTGGGAAGCTGCCTGCTGGGGAAGATGAAACAGGAAAGCCTTACAAATATGCTTGCCTGGCAAAAGATTTTGAGAATATGGAAACTATAAGAGAGATTGAAATGAAAGCAAGCTTTGAGATCCCTCAGTTACTGAACAATGAAATGAAAGCAAGCTTTGAGATCCCTCAGTTACTGAACAACTGGAAAACAATGGTGTGGCCAGCTGAAGGTGATCCCCTTTTGATGGAACAACACCCTCTGCTTGCAGACAGGCCCAAGGGTCAGAGCAGACCCTGCCACCTTGGCAGAAGGGGCCCAAAGAGGAGGTTTTAGGGTTTAAAATGTAACACAGTATGGTAATGTAATGATCCTTATAGGCTGTATGTAAATGCTGTAGGATTTGTATATTGTACTAGATTGGTTAGTGAGAGTTAGAATATTCAACACAGAAGAATATTTATTGTATTGTAATGGGAACCTTGCTCTCTTACCCTTTTACACTCTTACCCTCTCATCCTCTCTGCCCCTCTCTTCTCTCAGCCTGCTCTGAGCTGTGGCTGGCAGCTCCCAGCAGGGCCCTGCACCCAGGCCCTTTGCAATAATCGGCAAGTTCCAGTCCTGGCTTCAAAAATCTCTTGTCTCAGTCTGTCCCAACCATCCATCCCCCTGATGCTCCTACACTGCCTTCCCTGGGAATCAGCCTTCCCAGCCCCTGGGAGCTCTGGCTGAAGTGTGGGTGAATTCCTGGGGAAGCAGGGATGGAGCCAGGGCTGCAGCTCTGCAGCAGCATCAGGAGCTGTCACGGTGGCCCTGATCCACCACGCCACACCCTGCTCCCATCTGAACACCCAAACACCCACACCAAGGCCTCTGTGCTGTTTCACATGCTCAGCCAGCTCCTGTGGGGAGGAGAAGCCCATGCCAGGGCTGTCCCTGGCACGCCATGCCATTGGGAAGCCCTGGTCCATTCTGCCACCCTGGCTGTGCCAGGATAGGGAATCCCAAACTCCGCCTGCCTTTGCAGGACGGGTTGTGCATCTGTTTGGAGGTGCATGAGGTGTCTTTAAGTCCTGATAGCAAACCAGGACATCCAGCAGCTGCTCTCCTTTCCAGTGCCACCCCCCTGGCTCCTGCTGCTCCCTAAATTAAATATGTGCTGCCTCTTGGAAAGCACATGAGAGTGGAACGGCAGAGATAAGCTAAACGGGAGAGGTTCAGGGGATTATGCACTGATTAAGTTATTACCAACGTGAAATGAGCCGAGCTGAGATGAAACAGGAGCTTTATTTTCTGTTCCCTGGCTCTGGGCTCATTGCCTGTCACTAGATGGCAAATCAAGCTGGGAGCCAGGAGCTCCTGGATCCCCCTGTGCTTTCCAGCAGGTCAGTGCCATGCACACCCATGGGAGAAACAGTGTTAAACAGGGCTGGGAACTGGGGGCCTTCCCTCCTGGGGGAGTTGATGCAGCACTTGAGCTATTTCCAGTGCTAGGTCTCCCACCCCACTGCAGATTTGAGCAGAAAATTTCTTCTTTTCTGGAACAGGAAAATCTGGTGCTGCTGGGAGGATGTGTTGGGGAGCACCACCCCTTTGATGAACTTCCCATGTTTTTCCTTAAGCATCCTCTGCAGGCTGCTGTCAAAGGCAGGATGCTGGGCTAGGTGCAGAGTGAAAAATAGAAGTGGCAAATGAAAGGCTGTTTGCTTGGTGCTTGGGAATGAAGTCAGTTTGCCATAAGCCCTCGGGACTGTGACAGTGTTCACAGGGGTCTGAGGATGAGGGAAGAGATGAGGATCTGACTCCATGTTTCAGAAGGCTTGATTTATTATATTATGATATATATTATATTAAAACTATACTAAAAGAATAGAAGAAAGGATTTCATCAGAAGGCTAGCTAAGAATAGAAAAAGAAAGAATGATAGCAAAGGCTTTGGTCTCGGACAGAGAGTATGAGCCAGCTGACTGTGATTAATTAGAAACAATCACATGAGACCAATCACAGATGCACCTGTTGCATTCCACAGCAGCAGATAATCATTGTTTAAATTTTGTTCTTGAGGCTTCTCAGCTTCTCAGGAGAAAAAATCCTAAGGAAAGGATTTTTCAGAAAATGTGTTTGTGACAGGGATAGGCTGGATCAGGTGGATAAATCAGGATTTCATGCCTGGTGAGGGGGCTGGATCCAGGCTGAGATAACCACTGGCTATCCTGTATTTTCTGTCCCATCATTGATGGGACTGGAGGAGCCCAGCTGGATTTGGGCAGGGATTTACCCTGCTTGGGCAGTGTGATGGGGCTGTGGGGCAGAGCCAGGGAGGGGACACAGGGACAGCAGGGCACTGAGATGCTCCAAACACCACCGAGCCCACCCGTGGGGTGGGGAACAGCAGGGGCAGCTGTGGGGCTGGAGCTGGGGTCCCAGGGTGGGGTGTGCATGCCAGGCTGGCCGTGTCTCAGCTCTCTCTGTGTGCTGCAGTGATGGGCGCGCTGGAGTCCCGAGGGGTGCTGCGCAGGATGAGCGACATGCTGGAGATGCTGATGAAGAGGATGGACATCCTGGCCAGGCTGGAGAACAGCACTGACTTCCACAAAGGGGATGAAGCACGATTCCCTCTGGACAGGTCAGTCAGACCCTGTGGAGCAGTGCTGGGCGTGGGGGCTTTGCAGGAACAGAACACCCCAATGTGCTGAGCTGCTCTGAGGGTGGTGGGACCCAACAGGTCTTGGAAGGAACATTTTTAGCCTCATTTGCCATGTCTGGAGCTGTTTCTTTTGGGATTTCTGAGCTGACTGTGATTTTTAGGATTTGTGGTCACTCCCAAGCTTGTCAGAGTCCAAGAATTATTTGCACTATGCTCTCAGGAACACTGTGTGATTTTTGGAGGTGTCCAGTGCAGGACCAGGAGCTTGACTCAGTGATCCTTGTGGGTGTTGTTGTGATATTCTATGATCCCATGATTTCCTGAAGCAGCTGTCCCAGCTGCAGGTGTGGCAGTGTCTGCACTGCTGTGCTGTGGTGCTGCTGGAGGTGGGACATGTCAAGCAGCACCTGGCATGTGGGATGTGCTCCCTGAGCTCAGGACCCTTGCTCTGTGCCTGTACTCCATGGGCAGCTGTGGAGCTGGTGGCTGTTCAGAATCCAGGACAGTGCTCAGCATTGGAGTTGAGCAAGGTTTAAAATGTGCAGAAGGGCCTAAAATGATGCCCTGGCTCCCTGTGCTGCACATCTCAGCTGGCAGTGTGAGAGGCGCCATCAGACCTCCCTGTTGTGGCACACTGATTCACTAAAAAGACATTTCCCTGTGCTCTGGGAGCCTTTAAACATTCATTGATACTAATTGGAGTGTCAGTGCACAAATGGTAACTGGCGGTGGGGGAGCAGAGATGAAAAACCACAGGGGCAGCACTTGGGACAAGCTTGGCAGTGTGGAAAAGATGCCAGTGTGGATTTTGCTCAGGTGGAGCCTCAGGTGACACAGGAGAGGTGGATGGCAGGGATGTGACATGCAGGGGTCACCCCTGACCTGTTCTGTGCTGCATCCTGCTGGATCCCTCATAACATTCCCACCTCCACCTCCTGCCATCGCTGTGCTTTCCCCTGCTCCCATCAGCATTTCCATCCCTCTCCTTTGCTTTCCTCACGAGCCTCTTTTGTGCCTATAAGAGAAAACAGACTCAGTGAGCCTGTAATTAAGGGCTGAGCTCTGCCACAGTGCCTGCACACCTGAGCTAGAGCTGCAGGGCAGCCGTGGAATGCGTGGTCCTGACTTTTATGTACCATCATTTCCAGCACTGAGAAAATATAATTTGCCTCAGCCATGGTAGGTGCTGGGATTTTGTTGTTCCGAGGCTGGCTGGTACCCAAGTGAGTGAGATCACCAATAATCCCAGAGAGGAGTGGACAGGACTATTACAGCCAGCACTGGAAGGTGCTTGCTCACATTGAACGATTTTCTTGGCCAGTCTTGTGTTAAAAGAACCACTAATTTCAGGTGATGGTTGTTTCTCTACACCAGCAGCCAAGAGAGAAACTTAAAAGCATTTCTGTGGGCTGGCAGCAGTGGCTGCAGATGGGGATTTGGTGTTTCAGATCTGCTGTGGGAGTGATGGCTCTGGGGCCATCACCTGGAGAGAGGATGGGAGCTGATGGACCCACATCAAAAGAGCCTCAGGTTTTGTGTGTGTGCTCAGATGGGCCTGAGCTGGGGGCTGAGATCACAGATGTCTTAATTTCCAGTAACGGAAATTCAGGGGCAACGAGTTTATCACCTTTTGCTCCTTATTAGTCACCCCTAAAGAGAAATCAATTCTCTTCACCTGATTCTGCATCCAAACCCATCTGTCTCCTCTCCTTGTTCTCACTTGGCCTCTGAAGATCCCGTTCTGGTCATGGGACAGAGCATCTCCAGGTGAAGCAGCCACCACAGGGGAGTTTCTCGTGGGTGGGTGTTGGGGAAGATGAAACAGGAAAGACTTACAAATATGATTGTCTGGCAAAATATTTTGAGAATATAGAAACTATAAGCGAGATTGAAATGAAAGCAAGCTTTGAGATCCCTCAATTTCTGAACAAGTGGAAAACAATGGTGTGGCCAGCTGAAGGTGATCCCCTTTTGATGGAACAACACCCTCTGCTTGCAGACAGGCCCAAGGGTCAGAGCAGACCCTGCCAGCTTGGCAGAAGGGGCCCAAAGAGGAGTTTTTAGGGTTTAAAATGTAACACAGTGTGGTAATGTAGTGATTCTTATAGGCTGTATGTAAATGCTATAGGATTTGTATCTTGTACTAGATTGGTTAGTGAGAATCAGAATACTCAACAGAGAAGAAGATTTATTGTATTCTAACGAGAACCTCGCTCTCTTACCCTTTTACTTTCTCACCCTCTCATCCTCTCTCCCCCTCTCTTCTCTCAGCCTGCTCTGAGCTGTGGCTGGCAGCTCCCAGCAGGGCCCTGCACCCAGGCCCTTTGCAATGAACCCCAAGTTCCAGCCCTGGCTGCAGAGATCTCTCATCTCCATCCATCCCCACCATCCCACCCCACAATGCTCCTACACTGTCCCTTGAGTGTAACCAGCTGCAGTCCTGGGGACCCCCCTGTGCTGAGGTGGATTGGGCACCTCCAGCTGCCCCAGGACCCAGCAATGACTCCTGGACCTGGATCAGCCCCACGGAGACACCCAGGAGCTGTTCCTTGTTAGGATCCCGGGATTCCACCGAGGGCTTGTCTCCTTCCCTCCCTGCCTCCGTCTCTTTGATCACCAGTGACCGACTTGAGGCTGTCAGGGAAAGATAATACAATTAAAGGGTGGTAATTTCAAAGGGATTTTACTCTTCAAAGCGTCCCTGCTTGGCACTGCTGCTGCCTTCGTCTCCTTCCCGCTCTGCACAGCTGCCAGTGTGGGCTTTGTGCTTCCAGTTGCCCAAAAGTGGATTAATTCTTGTTTTTACAAAGTGCTCTCCTGCTTAAGGCTGGATCTCCAGTGGAATCAGGAGGGCTGGGTTTTGCAGAGCTCCAGCTGAGGGGAAGGAGGTGAAGGCTTTGCTGAGCTTTATGGAATAACCTGTGAGCACTGCACCACTCCAGCAGAGGCTTGGGGTGGCTTTACCCCTTGGAAAGTGCAAGGAAAACTCTGTATATGCAGGGTGGCATTAATGGCCTGCCTTGGAAAGCCTCCCAGATTTCCAAGCTGCAAAATCTTTCTTGTTCCATTGGGGCTGTCTCACAGGTGCCTCCATTTCCAGCTGATAAAACTCTTGGAAAACCCAAATGTCCCGCTCCAATTTTCTCCCCCTTGGAAGAGCTGCCCAAAAGTTTTGTGGCATGGCACACAGGCTGCACCTGTGAACTCCAGGGGTTGCTGGCTGCCTTCTCCAGCCCTGCCTCAGCTCCCTGCTGCCTGCATCCTGCCCGTGCTGGGAAGGGAAGGATGGATTCCCTAACGAGGGCCAGCAGGCTGCCAGTCAGCTGCAGGAAAATCAATACTGCTGTTAATTGAATGCAACCCTCGTAAATCATCCGAGGGGAAGGAAATTAGGAGTACTTATGGAAGCCTCCTGGAGAGCTGTTTACTGGGCAAGGGAAAAATATTAGTTTGCAGGGGAAGTGTTGATCTCTTGCTGAAAAGTGCTTAGGAAGGAGGGAGGGAGGGAGGATAGGGTCTGAGTGGCTGACCCAAGCTGGCACTGTAACCCAGCAGTGTTGGGGCTTGGAAAAGCCCTTTTCCAGGAGCTGGGCTGCCCCTGCCCACCTCATGCCCCAGGGACATGGCAGAGGGCAAGGCTGGGGTCTGCAGCACTGGCATTCCTGGTCATCCCTGTCCCCACGTGGTGGTTAGCCTGCAAAGGGTGTTATTTGCTAACGACTGATTAATCTTCAAGCTTAATTACTGCCAAGGCTCAGTTAATTTCCACACACTTTAAGTATTTGTTCTTGTAATCATTACATGACTCCATATTCCCCCAGTAATTAAAAGTCTCGCAATATGACACTAAATGGATGATGTTCCTGCATCCTGCCAGCCTGGCTCTATTAATTCCTGAATTGTTGCTGGTGGCGAGCTGGCTGCAGAGAAATCCCTGCCAAGGCAGTGGTGTCCTGCAGCCCAGGTGAGCCTGGAGCAGTCCTGAACCCCTCTGAGCATTGGCTCCCATCTCCTGAGGGGCTCAGAGGGGGCAAAGCTCTTCAGAGCAGCCCAGGGAAGGTGAGACCACCCTGAGGTGCAGCCTGGCTTTGCTGGGTGCTGGTTCTGCTGAGCTGAGCTCTGCTGCAGGAGCAGGGGTGCATCAGGAGACAGCAGCCTTCCTCCCCAGCACTCACCTTCCTCACAGGTTCCACAGCCCGTTCCATCCTGACAGAGGGGATGAGCTTTTCCTTGTCAGCTCCTGAGGATGTCTGCATCTGTGGATGATTTCACAGAATCACTGGGTTGGGAGAGACCTTCAAGATCGAGTCCAACCCAGCCCCAACCCCTCACCTAAACCCTGACACCCAGTGCCACATCCAGACTTTGTTAAACACATCCAGGGGTGGTGACTCCACCACATCCCCGGGCACATTCTAGAACTTTATCACTCTTTCTGTGAAAACCTTTTCCCTGATATCCAACCTGTATTTCCTTTGGTGCAGCGTGAGGCTGTGTGCTCTGGTTCTGTCTGTCCTGCCAACCCCAGCTGAGCACAGGCACCTTTCAGGAGCTGTGCAGAGTCATAAGGGCACCCCTGAATCTCCTTTTCTCCAGGCTGAACACCCCCATTTCAGTGTTACTTGGAGAGGATGGGCACAGTGTAGGGACTCACTGCTGCTCTGGAGTCCCCATCAGGGTCAGGAGAAGACATAAATGGAGGAATTCAGGCCTGAGCAGCTGAGATAAATTGCTTTTCTCTTAAGGCAGAGCAGGGAGGTGGCTGTGGGCTGCCAGCAGGGTCCATCCATGCACCCACATTTCCAGAAGGGCTGTGGCCTCATGGAAGAGCCCCACAGCCCAAATGGTGCTGGGCATCACCAGCATGGTGATAGGACAGGTGCCAAGGTATGCCCAGGTCACTCACACCCTCCCCTCCTGCTCCCAGGCTTGCACCTCCCCCAGCACCTCCTGCTCAATTTGCTGAAATTAATTCAGCA